AGCCGAGGGGGGTAGGAAGGAGGCAACTTGCCAGTCTCCCTGGTGGAACTGAGAAAACCACTTCCTCTCTGCTCCATCGCGGGTCAGCGATGGAAGCGTTCACACAGCACCTGCCTGTCTTCCCTCCGTTCTCCCGCATCTGCTGCAGCACGAGCGACGGGATCGCGGCCGATCGGACGACGAGCGAGCGATTTCTATCCACGTCCACTGTAGCCTGAGGGCATAAAGTTGAGGTGGAAAGTTACATTCTGCTTCCTCCCTTCTGATTCCTCCTCTAACTTCCTCCCTTGCTCCTTTACCATCTCTTGCCTTTTTCTGCTTTTGCTCCTCCCCCAGCACTCCCGCTGCTGCCCCTCCGCTTCCTCCTCTCACCTTCACTTCATCCGTGAACAAGTTCTGGAAGTCGATCAGCTCGATGTGCCCGTCCCCATTGATGTCGCACGCCTGTACGATCTCCCCCGCCTCCTCCTCGCTGATCTTCACCCCATGTCTCTTGAAGCCATTGTAGATCTTCTCCGCGTTCAGAACGCCCGTCTTGTTGTCATCGAGCGCGCGGAAGGCGCGGTGGAGGGAGTTTCCGACCTGCAACGTGAGCTTTGAGATGAGATTCTCAATCTTTGGCCTCATTCTCTCCATCCGCGCCAGCGCCTTTGCCTTGTACTCAGCCAGCTTCTCAGGGCTCATGTGCGTTGGCCGCAGGTCCTTTACCGTATCCCTCATGAAGTTGAAGTTTGCGATGTCGAAGCCTCCTGCTTCTGAGGACCGATCGAAAAGCGAGCCAGCATTGAACCTCTCCTCGTCCCACGTGTTGGCGGCTGCTATGAACCACTCCTTGATCTCGTCCGTGAACTTCATCCCCTTCACCCTCCCCAGCGCCTCCCACACCTCCCCCTTGGACATGGACCGGATCCCCGACGTCGCACTCCTCGCCATCTCCGCGATGATCTCCCTCCTGTTCCTCTCGATCTCCTTCCAAAGTTTCGAGTTCACCAGCGCCGTCATTGCCTCATGCGACACCTGGTTGGCTCGGTCGAACTGCAGCGACTGCTCAAACTCCGCCAGGCGGTTCACAAACTCATCATATTCCAGCACCCCGTCTCCGTTCCTGTCCGCCTTCCACAGGAAATTCTCCAGCAGGCTGATCTCGTCGTCCTTGAGATCCTTTCCCCACTTATGCAGCATCTCCTTCACTTCGTCTGGCTGCAGCCTGCACAATGTGTTTAGATCTCCTGCTCCTGCCCCTGCCCCTGCCCCTGCCCTTGCTCCTCCTCTATGCCTACATATCAACACTTCCGCCCGCCCTCTCTCCTCGTCCCTCACTCTTCCTTCGCCTCCTCCTCTCGACTCACTTGGAATCTCCACTCTCGTCTGAGGCTAGGAACGCCTTCCTCAGCTTCCCCGAGAGGGAGGTGACCTTGGCGTGAAGCTCTATCCTCTTGTTCCTCTCCAGCTCATCCCCGACCTTGAACTTCCTCTTCCACGTCGGAGTTTGTCGCTTATTCGAGCTGAGACAGAGCATGTCAGGTCCGACGACTGGCAGCAAGGACGAGCAAGATGGCAGTCAATGAAACGCACAGACCTTGATCGCTTCTCCCAAGTTGATGCCTTGGCTGGTGACCCAACAACTAGCCTGTTCTCCTCGAGCCGCTCGTGTACAGGAGGATGAGATGCTTCTTTGTTTTCATGATTATCGTCCTGCTCTTCTGCTTTCTCCTTGTGGAATTTGTTGGTTTGACCTGTATGTCCTCTTTGCCTCCTTCGGGAGCTCGACATTATGCAGACCCTGTATGCAAGAGCAGAGTCCCTCACCAGATCGAGTGCAGGCCTCTCTTCCCCGAACTAACTCGTTTTCTCACTCTTACTACCAAGATCTTCTTTCATACCGTCTGCATGCTCTTTCTTTCGAGATGTTTGTACCCAGGCGTACAAACAGTTCCCAACAACTCACTGTAAGCCCCGTCCTCTCCGTCCGCTGCGATCTTCTCCTTCAATCTTGTCGTCGTGATGTTCTCACATCAGTTCATTCCATCAGTTTGACTTCCTCCTCTCACTTCTTCTGACACTCTCCTCTGCATTCTTCGCAAACCTCTCGCTCCCCGCCCTCCTATCCTCAGCATAGTCGCATGGTCCGTTAGAGTTCCTAACCACCCCGTCCTGTAGACCCCTACCTGTGTCTTTCCCACTACCCTACCCCTAATTTACCCCAATTAATCTTTGCTTGTACCCCTGATTTAAAAGTCAACTTGTACCCCTACCCCTACTTTATAAACACTGCCTTCCACCCACCCTCGTTTGTAATGCCTTCCAACTTCTCTTTTTTTGAGGTTGGGGTCCGTGTGGACCTATGACTATCCTAGGACCCCGATAGGTAGCGGGGCATGGATATAAGAGATCTGGAGTGGCGGAGGGGAGGGAAGGGAAGTAGGAGCAAGAGGAGTGAAGTAGAAGACAAGGAGGAAAGAAGAGAAGAGAAGAGAAGAGAAGAGAGAGAGAGAGAGAGAGAGAGAGAGAGAGAGAGAGAGAGAGAGAGAGAGAGAGAGAGAGAGAGAGAGAGAGAGAGAGAGAGAGAGAGAGAGAGAGAGAGAGAGAGAGAGAGAGAGAGAGAGAGAGAGAGAAGAGAAGGGAAGGGAAGAGAAGGGAAGAGAAGAAAGAAGAGATAAGAAGAGAAGAGATGCTGAAGCTACTTTGCTGAAGACTTCTTGGGCGGGGAGTGTTGGATCTCAGGGCCATCAGCGACGAATGTCGAAAATAATCTGCTAGAACCTGAAGCTTAAACACTGAGGGGACGTTGGACCATGGCACCTCCTGGATAGTTCAAATTCATGCTGTTCCGCTCATCTCCGTGAAGCCAGTGGCACTTCTCTCTCTTCTGTTTCGCTGTTTTTCCTCAGACCGTTTTGCAAGCTAGGTTCTGCCTACTTGCCAGCTTTGTGTCCTCAGTGTCGTCGAAGTTAGCCAGAGCACACTGATAGCATACTCGACTCTTCCATCGTTGTCTAGACCAGCTTGTTGTCTTCGCGATTCCTGGAGGCATTTTTTCGTTTTGCCCCCATGTGTCTCCTACCTCTACCATTGTGTGGTGGTCGTGTAGAGCTGGGCTCTGAATCATCTATTGGCTGAGGGAGACTATCGCTCGGTCCCCTCAGCTGCCCCTGAAGGTTCTCACCGTCCCCATAGCCTTCAAAGGCGAGACTTTGCCCCAGCAGGAAGCAATTTTCATGAGCTCGAGCGAAAAAACTACTAAGACGACAACTGTCACACCCCGAAGCTTTACGGGTTGCAGACTCTACAGCGAATACTCAAGGCCATTCCGCTGGATCACACACAAAGGTGAAGAGTAGAGATGTGAAGTTTATTTGATAACACAAACACACTATCGATTCGTGACACACACAGCAAGGGAAAAGGACAGACCACCTTAGCCGTTGTTGACGATCCTTTTATAGTCGAGGGGAATCACCAGCGGTGGTGAGGCTCCTCTTGCACGAGCGAGCATCCCTCGTGCTTCCGCTTAGATCTGCGTCCTGCCCGAAGATTCACGGGTTCCGAAGATTTACGGGTTCCGAAGATTTACGGGTTGCAGACGTTCACGGCGAATGCTCAAGGCACCTCCGCTGGATCACACATAAAGGTGAAGAGTGACGAACTTGCGGTTGTCTGCTGTTCTTCGCTCCTGTTGTTTGTCGCCAACATGACAGTATCATGTTTGCGTTGAATTTCCAGTAAACTTCAACCGTTGCTGATACTTTGTGTCATCCAGCAGAGTAGTATTGAGATTTGCCTGTAGACGTCTTCTATCCTGCTGTACATCCTCCTTGTACCGGGCACGACTTTGGGCAGCAAATGTCTTGGTGCTTACAAGGCGCGTGCAGCGTGTATGATATAACTCTATGACACAACACATCACCCTGTGGCTGCATCTCCTTACAGAAGGGTATATAAATTTGCGTCCTTGTGTCTCGCATTTACGACTCATAGTTTGCTCGGCGGGATACCATGGCGCTGGTCTCTACTTACATTGCCAAGACATGCTCGACATGTACATGACATGTTCTCCCACATGAGTTCAGGTCCTCTTGTTCACTTACAACCTCCTCTAGCCCTGTTCTCTTCACTTCTTGCTCCACCCCATCTGCTTGTCACTAGTAGCTTCGAGTCGGACGGTCGGAGGTCAACACTGTGACACTCCCCAGGTGTAAGCCTGGAAACACCCGGTGCATTTACTACATGCAAGAGTGCAAGATAGGGTGGGGTCATCCAGAAGCCTGTGGTACTTCGGACGGTAGGTCGCAACTGAGACTGTCACGCCTTCTGAGTCAACGGTGCTTTGAAAATTAGGGGGTGAGGGGTGGTACAGGTTGCGACCCATGGGTGGGTACTTGAAACTAGGAGGGTAGGGGTGGAGTTGTCACCAGTAGCGCGTTGGCATGATGATCTTATGAAGGGGTCATGACCTGTGCGTGAAGCCAAATCAGACGCCGAGGGTTCAAAGGGTGGTGCTCTTGTTACAGGGTGGTGACCTGGTAGTGTCGGGGTGTTGAAGGGGTAGGGGTGGAGATAGGGCTGGTGGTTTCCGGGATGTCGCATATCACAGGGACGAGTCGGAAGCTCCGAGGCTCGTTGGGAAATAGGCCGTCAGGGCACCGTGAGGTGAGAGGGTGCCAACAGAGTAGGTGGGGTGGTGGCTGAGGGGTCGGAAACAGAAGAAGGCTAGGGGTAAGACATGGGTCAATGTGTGGTAGGGTGCATTGTGCATGGGGTACGGAAGAGCGTGCGTCTGATGGTAGGGTGGGGGTGATTCCTTGAAATCCTATCTTTTGCTGTGCTCATCTTACTCGGCTTTCCAAGCTAAAAACGTACGAAATTTGTCATTAATTCTGTGCCTCGTAATTCAAAGATTAAGAAAGAATTTGAATATTGTTTTGGCATTTGGGAAATCAGTAGGAGACTTGATGCGCCAGGCAGAGACTTTTAAAGATAGAGTCACACCCCCTTTTCCTCTGCCATGATGGTGACCACCACCTGTCTGTCGACCAACTTTTAAAACTGTTTTTAGGATGCCTGCACGACCCTCAACTTGTTCACTACCCTTCAATACGATATCAAAGGGTGGGGTGAAATCAAATCATCCCCCCGATTCTTGATTATTATTTTCATGAAAAGGTATTATTTCGGTTAAGGCCCTGAATCAAAAATCGATTTTTCGTCTCCAACATACCAAAAGTAATTTTAAAACCAATTAAATCATTTTCTTGATGACGGGACAACCGATGGACCGTGACCTGAATACATCAGAAGTAGCCTAATTTAACTCTTTTATGGCTTATTTAACTCCATTTTCGACTCTGTTTACCACCATTTAACCAGCATCCGAGTATGCCCGCCATGGCTGTGGGAGCGAACGGATGATGAAGGCGCGGGGCTGGATGCTGCTCCTGCTCCTGCTCCTGCTCCTGCAGATTTCCATTCTCCCTGTTGTAGGACAGTCAGGGACGCTCCCCGTGTGCGACCTGTTTGTCCGCAAGGTTGTTTCCTCGTTGGCGCCATGCCCGCTCGCTGCTGACTTGTTCTCCTGCTGCAGGAAACGACCAATGCCCTCTTGGAGGGGTTGAGGGATAATCTCTTCTCCATAGGCTATGCAGGCTACCCGACATATATTGATGGATCTTACAACAGGAACTTGCAGATCGTAGCGGTACAAGGGCTGGACGGTGGATTCATGCTCCCCACCATGCACAGCGTGAATGCCTCGTTGCAACCTGAGCTGATTATCAACGAGAGGTGTCCTGGGTTTGCGAGGTCCAGGTGTCCAGATTTTGCTCATGCCCTATTCCCTGGTGCATGGCCCTTGGTTGGGATGGCCTACCTGCTGCTCCCTTACAACTTCCAAGTGGCTACCGTGGAGGAGTGCCTGAGGGTAAAGGTGTTGCAGGAGTACATGATCTGGATTGTTACCTCCAGCGAAGCCAGGAAGATTGCAAACGATGCCTGGTATGTTGAGATGCCGGCTCAGATCAGAAGCTATGTGTTGGAATCGATCTCAGAGCTGTCGTGCAATGGTAAGAAGGTAGCCAACATGTCATTCCCTGTGACTTCAAAGACCACCACCAAGATTGTGGCCTATGGCTCTACTCTCCTCTCTCCTCTCTTCACGAAGCTCAACAACTACTACACCATCAACTTGCAGCCGAGCACGGTGGTGAACTACAACGGAGGGGATTTGCTCAATTTCTCTGAGTTGGGTGCAAGCATCGACTTTGCGGGGGTGGACGTGGCGCCCCAGTCGCTTTCCCTGGAGCAGCGCACGAGATTTATGCTGCTCCCTATCTATGCAGCGCCTGTAGTTGTCGTAGCGCACCTGGACATCGGTGTTCAGCTGAACATGACCGCCTCGCTCCTGGATAAGGTTTTGCAAGGGAAAGTCGCGTGTTGGGATAACGAGATGATCGTCAAGTTGAACCCGAACGCAGACCTCCCGAAGGCTCCGATCACGAGGGTTGTTCGCAATCACTCGAGTGGAAGCACGTTGACTCTGACGAACGCGTTGGCTCTGCTGCAGGGGAAGCAGTGCGAATCACTCCCGCAGCTGTTTTTGTGCAGTGACCTCCCATCATGGCCGGCGCCCAACATGAGTTTGGTCGAGAGCTTGTGCCCGTGCAACTCGCAGGATGTTGGGGCCTCGTGGGCTGCGAGGAACGTGGGGACTGTTGTGCTGATCTCGCTCGGAGGGTTTGCGCTCGTTTGCATCGGGGTGTTCTTCCTGGTGGGATACATCAAGAGTCGCAAAGAGAACTTGTGGAAGGTCAGCTGGGATGAAGTAAGCTTTCCGGAGAAGCCTGAGGTGCTCGGGCAAGGATCGTTCGGGGTTGTTCTCAAGGTTCACTTTCGAAGTCAAGTGGTGGCATGTAAGCGGCTGGTTTCGCCGTCGGAAGCGTTGAAGCTCAACCAGATGCCGCTCAAGTCAGCCATGAACTCTGTCGCCTGGCAGCCGAACCTTGCTAACAGGGTGAGCCACTCCTCGCCGACCTCGAGCGGGATCAGTGCTAGGGGAACTTCCGGAGAGGTCGACCTGACGAAGTCGAACTCGGGGACAGGGATGAAGGACCAGGACCAGCCGCAGCTCATGGAGCTGCTCATCGGTCGGGGCCAGGGCCTGAACAAGAGCATCCGGTCGCAACTGATGACCGAGGTCAAGGTCATGATCTCGATGAGGCATCCCAACTTGTGCCCGATCATGGGAGCGTGCTTCGAGTACGGCAAGGAGTTCTTGCTGATGCAGTACTTCGAGTACGGCAGCATTCGTGACATGTTGAACAATCGGTTTGCCATGACGTTCGACATTCAGATGGATTTGATCTCAGGTGACATGTCTTGCATTGGTCCTCTCCGATCTCCGATCGCTGCCCTGCCATATCTCACTTGCCCTCTGTCCTCCTTGCTGCCTCTGCTGCCGCCGCTCCGCCTGTTCTCATATCGTTGTTGGCAGGCATTGCGGCTGGCATGCAGTATGTCCACCTGGCCAACCCTCCCCTGATCCACAAGGATCTGAAAGCTGCCAACGTCCTGGTGGATGCCAAACTGACCCCGAAGGTGAAGGGAGGAGAGGGACAGCAATGAAGGGGGAGGCTGAAGCTTGTGCTGCAGATTTCCGACTTTGGGATGACTTCTGCCCGATCGAAGGAGGGAGAGCGAGTGGGGACTATATTCTGGAATGCTCCTGAGCTGTTGGATGGCCGAGGGGCGTCCACAGCCACTGATGTCTACGCTTTCGCCATTACCATGTACGAGATCTTCCACCCTCTCAACGACAACATCTACAACAACCTCAACATCTACCAGGTCTGTCTCTTGATCACATTCACTTGCCTTCCTCTTCATTCCCGCTTCTCCTCCCTCACCTTCTCCCTCCCTCACTACTCCCTTCCCCTCCCTCCTTCGCTCCTTCCCCTCCTTCGTTCTCCTCACCGCACAACGCAGGTCATGCAGGGTGTGAAGACCGGAGTGCTGAGACCGGAGCTGGACTATTCGAATGTCCCTCAGGAGATGATCAATCTCATTCAGGACTGCTGGTGTCAAGACCCGCAGAGACGTCCAGCCTTCACCTCCATCGTCTCCGCGATCAACAGCCTGACGTCCGACCCAGATTTCATGAGCCGAATGGTGAGGAGGGCGGAGAATCAACGAGGAAGAGAAGAGTTGGGACAGCGCAGAGGGAGGGGTTGGGTAGATAGGGGAGAGGACTGGAATCTTGTGCAGAAGGGGAAGGAGGACGAGGAGGAGGTTCTCATTTGAAGGGGGGCTGGGGCGCAGCAGTAGGTGGACGAGGACGAGGACGAGGACGAGGACGCGGACGAGGAGATGAAAGTCTTTGGGGTGCTGACTCTTCCTCGCCATGCTGCTGTGTTTCCAGATGGACAAAGTTTACTCGATGAGCTTTCCCTTCAGCGGCCACTCGTCCGATCAGAGCATCAACCCTTCTCCCTCCTTCCCTCCTAAGGTGACAGGGAGGAATTGAGAGGCTCTCCGTCCTCCTCCCACACTTCCTCCTTCTCGTCTCGTCTTTCCTCCCCTCCCTCCCTTCCCACCCTCCCTCCCTTTCCCCCCTCCCCGCCCTCTGACGCTCCTCCGGCTCAGATCGCCAAGATGGTCTTGGATGGCATCAAGGTCGACCCTGAGAGGTTCTCCAACGTCTCCGTCCTCTTCGCCGACGTCGTGAACATGGAGAGGCTGACCAGGGAGCTTCCTCGCCAGAAGGTTCTGTCCCCTCCCTCCTTCCCACCTGCCTACCAGCTGACCCTCAGCTGAAAGTTTCGGGAGCTCATGCGCAAACTCTACGAGACGATAGACAACCTCTCCAAGCTCCATGGCGTCTTTCGGATCCACACAAACGGGGGGACCTGCATGGTAAGCTGCCTCCCCTTGATCCAGCTTTCCCTCTCCCTGCTCGTCCTCCTTTTCCTCGCAGCCCTCCATGGTTCTCTCTCCCTACCACGACATCCTGTCTCTTTGCACGCTCCTCGTTCGAACTTCTTCCTCCTTTCCTCCTCTGACTCTTCTTCCCTTAGGTCGCATCCGGCCTCTACGACGAGCAGCACAGCAACGCTGCCTCTGTCGCCCAGTTTGCCGTCGCCCTCTTGCAGTCAACCCGCGAAATACTCCTTGATGAAGAGGTCCATTCCTCCCTTCATCGTTCCCTCGCTCCCGCTGCTCTTCCTCTCTCCTCCTCTCCCTCTCCTCTTCCTTCTTCCCTCCATCCCTCCCTCCATCCCTCCCTCCTCCTACCCATCATCCTCTTCTGCACCTGCACCTTCCTCACCACCTCCTCCACCAGGGACGGGCACAGGAGACGCTCATGCTGAGGATCGGTTGCCATGTGGGGTCGGTAGTCGCGAGCGTCGTCGGCAACAGGAAGCAAACGCAGCGCTACTGTCTCTTCGGCTCAACCATCACCGTTGCTTCCCAGCTCGCGGCCACCTCGGGACCCAACAGGATTCAGGTGGGTCCCCTGCTGCTATGCAGCTGGGCTGCGTTGACGTTGGGGAGCAGTTGTCGGCAGAGATGAGGACGAAGCTCTTGTCCGAGGCCAACGACGAGTTCGCGTCATTCATTGTAGGAGATGAAAAACCCCTCGCTCCCCCTTGCCTCCTCCCGCCTATCTATCTCAGCTCCCTCCCTCCCTCCCTCCCTCCCTCCCTCCCTCCCTCCCTCCCTCCCTCCCTCCCTCCCTCCCTCCCCCCTCCCTCCCTCCCTCCCTCCATCTCACTGGTTCTGTTGTTTGCTTCCTCCTTTCACTTTCCCGTCAGGTCTGCCGCGGGATGGTTTCAATCCGTGGCAAAGGAAACTTCAAAACATTCTGGCTCGACCTCCCTCACCACTACTACAACCCTCCTGACTCCTACTGGCGATCCGTCTTCCAGTCCAGCTCGCCTTCTCCTCTCATGTTCGCTCCTCCAGCCGTCTCCAACGCACCGCGGACTTCTCTTTCGAAGAGCAGCGTCGGGGATCCAGGGGAGGAGGAGAGGAGGAGCAGGCAGGAGGAGGAGGGGAGGAGCAGGCAGGAGGAGGAGGGGAGGAGCAGGCAGGAGGAGGAGAGGAGGAGCAGGCAGGAGGAACAGAGGAGGAGCAGGCAGGAGGAAGCAAGATTCTCAATGT